GCATGGCCAGGGCTGTGCTATGCGCATCCATCAGGCTCGAAGGAACACTGATAACTGCAGATGCCAGGAGTGGAAAGGGAAGAAGGAGGCCCCACCTTCTAGAGCACTTTGAGAAGGCCCCTGATGAGGAGCTGGCCTCCAGGCGCCGCCCACGGCTCGGGAGCACGATGCTCCTCCTGGGCGCGCGCCGGGGGAGTGGAGAAGGACGAGGGGAAGAGGCGGGGAAGGACGGGGGGGAAGAGGGGGATCGACCCAGAGCATCGCCAGGCCAGCCAGAGCCACGGCGCGCGAGCTCGACGCTCCTCTTGGGCGCGCCCTTTGGGGAGGGGAGGGCGAGGGTGGGAGAGGGGGTAAGAAGAAAGCGAGTGGATCTTGATAGGAAGGATGCCACTGTCGACATCGACCAAGTCATCCCACTGTTGTAAGTACAGCTTCAGTGCTGATCCGGTTCGTCTTTGGGCTGGTGTGCGCAATCACTGTAAACAGAGGCCGTGCAGTCGCCAGTAAAAAAGCAAGAGAGAGGGATCGATTCAGGGCATCGCCAGGCCTGCCAGCGGCCGCCATGTTTCGCGCGAAAGGTGGCCCGGGCAATCCCATGGACGATCAGGGCACTGCGGCGCAGCAGTGGTCTGATCGTCCCTTTGCCGCAGGCTAATCGTACTCATCCCGTGCAGAGTTGGGCGCGGGACGGATACGGTGCCGTGCGATGACGATGGTGACGACAGTACTGACGATGACGGTGTTGCTGGATTACTGACGATGACGGTGCTGACGATGATAGCGACGGTGTTGACGATGATGGCGTTGCGGCCATTCACCCCATCCCGTGCCGTGATTGGCTCTGCCCGCAGATGCCTCGATTTCCGACATCGTGAGAATGTTTACGTCATGAGCCACAACACTTCTCGATCCCCCATCAGTTGGGACCATTATTTCGCCGCGGATCGTTTTTGTGCACGTCTCAGGGCCTGAAGAAGTCTCCTTGACGCGAAGACTGCGAAGGACGGGATGCAGGGATTCTTCCGCAACGCTGGAGTTATGGGCGGACTCTCTGTCTGTCTGCCTGTCTGACCCCGCTCCCGCGCAGGAGCTGAAGAGGGACGTGCAGGGGCGAGTGCAGCAGCTGGAGGCCGGGAGAGAGAAACCCAACCCACCAACACCGTCCAGCTACGCGTAAGAGTGACGTTTCCGGCGCCTCTTGTAGCTAATTAGGCTTGCCCGTTGGCCCGGACACCCTGCTCGCCGCCTGCCTCTTCGCTGGCGGCCGCGACCAAAAAAAAAAGAGTGACGCTTCGCCCGAGTGCCATTTGGTGCGCGGCTTTCGGGGTGCGCTAGGGGGAGGCCTCACGCACGTACGTACTAGTAAATCGTGATTGCCGCATCGCATGCCACGATCGGCCAGCCGCTCACCAAAGGTCACCCTCGCCTTGCCCGAGGTCTCCCGTGCGCATCGGGCCTTCTCACAGACGCCTCTTGGGCCTGGCAAGATCTGGCGAGGCTCTGGCTGCGCACAGAGAGCCCCCGGAGGCAGTCCTGGCCTGCCGCCGAAGGCCCCCGCAGGCTTGGCAGAGGTCTCCCCTGACGCTGGTCCGCGGGCCAGCGCCGGCCTGCAGCCAGAGGCATGCTAGTGAGGGCGAGGCGATGTGGGCTTGCACCACGTGCGGTCAGGCATTGTGTCTTAGCTCAGGGCGTGAATTACCTACCCCGCTTTCGCTTCCAGGCAAAACCAAGTCATACCACGCGCCTCCTCGTCAAGCGGCCTGACCAGTACGGGCCGTAGTTTGGTATCGTTTGGTATTTCTTGGAAGCGAGAGTGGTCAAAAGCGAGGTAGGTTTGTTTTCCCCCTATTAGCGTGTCTCGCCGCTGGTTCTGGCCCACCGCGCTTCGGCGCGACACGTTGTCCATATAGCGGTCCCGCAGTGACCGCTTTACCGAGCCTTCCCGAGCCTCCCGCCCCGCGAAGCGGAGCGACACGCTGAGCAAGAGTTCCCCACCGCTTTTTTGTTCCGCATAGCGTGCACGCGTACACCAAATAACTTAACCAACCACATAGCTGGCATCGCACAGGTGTCGCCGCAGAGCGTGCACCACATAGCTTGCGTCAAGCCAGGCCAAGTATGGAGACGCCGCGTGCGAAACCCAGCCCGAAACAGAATCAAGTAAGCAAGTTGTGAGGGCATCTCAAGCCCCCCCCCCAAAAAAAACAATGCCAAATCAGGTCGTCGCACGCGAATCTCTGCCGAAACCGGGCGAAGCCAAGCAACATGCAATGACTTCGCAGTGGAAACTTCTCCCAAACCAGGCCAAACCAGGGCCCAAACCATGCAAAATGTGAGGATGCCTCAGCCGAGGGCCAATCCAGGCACATTCCCTGAAGTCCTCAGCGAGAAGCCCAAAGCCTAGCGCCATCCACGCCCCTCCACGAAAGCAGAGGGATTGAGTTCAAATTATGTGCGGGGCTATCGGGGCGCAACAGCATGCCTGTGGCTGGGGCGCAGCAGCATGCACTGGTCGTGTGGTGGATGCTGCGGCTGCGGCATGGCGCTCGGAGATATCATATCCCCGAGCCGGTCGGGTGGTCCGCAGCGGCCTCGACTCCCTTGCAAACGCCCTGCTGCAGCGACCCCCTGGGCGGTCCGCTCCTCGTGGCCGGGGTGCTGCGACCGCCCCGGGGCTCTGTGCGTAAACCGGGACCTTGCCACTCGGCGAGCCGCTCAAGAAGAATCCAGGGCCACCCGAGAGAGGTCCGAGCATGGTGAGATCGGACGACCGCTCCGCCCTCGACGGCGCGGCTCGATGTGGAGCCCGACTGCACTCCGCGCCGAGGCGTCGCCGACGTCGCCGCTGCGTGGCCGGTGCGCTGCCGCTGCACTGGCGATGCAGCGCGCGATCCTCCGACCCATAGCCGCTCTCGCAGCCCCTCTGGGATTGCCAGCCTGGAACATATCCCTATCCCTATGCTGGGCACCTCCTCATCACGATGCCAATCTTAGGGATTCCCTTATTTAATCGCTTCGCTCATTCCGCCCGCCCGTATTGTGCCATCGCAGGCGTTTGCTTGCGCGTTCGTGGCCTCTTGGAGCCTCGGTGGGGCCGTTTGGGGCCTCTTGGCGCCTCTTTTTAGGCCTCTTGGAGAACTCGGGAGGCCTCCAGGGGGCCTCCTGAGCTCTCGTGACGGTCTCTTGGGGGGCTTTCGGCGGGCTCTTGGCGGTATTTGTTCCTCACGGGAGCTTATTGGGGCGTCTTGGGGGTGTCTTGGAGAGTCTCTTGGGGCCTCTTTCGGGGTCCTGGGCGCCTTCTGGGGCGGAGGGCTCGATTTTTCAGTTCTCGGTTCCCTTCTTGAGCCCCTCTTGGGCCCGTCTTGGGGCCTATTGGTCCGCCTTGGGCAGCACTTGGGCCGTCTGGGGGGCGCTCTTGGGCCGCTCCGGGGCCGTCTTGGGAGCCTCGTGGGCCGTCTTGGAGCAGTCTTGAAGGCCTCTTGGGCCCTCTTGGAGCGTCCGGAAGCGAAAAGGCCAGAACGCAAAAACACATCGAAAAAAACCAATGAAAATCAACGATTTTGGCAACTTGGGGCCCTCTTCGGAGGCCTCTTGGAAGGCCCTTGGAGCGTCTTGGAGGCCTCTTGGGCTGTCTTGGGGCCATCTGGGGCGTCTTCGGGCGATCTTTGGCCGTCTCGGGCTTCTCTTGGACCGTCTAGAAGGCTTCTCGGGGCCCTCTTGGACCGATCTGGAGCCCTCTTGGACTCCGAAACAGAACTCCGGCATCTCTGACCCGACCTTGCCGGGACCTTGCCGGGGTACTTTTCGTCCGGGGACCCCCAGGGGCCGCCCCGCGCGCGCGAACTAGAAATACGGTTAACCAGGTACCAGAGATCTTAGCACGCCCTGGCCCGTTGGGCCGGCGAATTTTTTTGAGGGCGAATCCCTAAGATTGTCATCGCCTGTTGGCGTGTCAGTCTTAGGGATAGGGATACGTTCGAGGCTGGTAATGGGAGGCCCCTGGAGAAGAGGCTCACCCTCGGCGCGTCGCTCCTCCGGCGGAAGCAGGGGCGGCAGTGGGGCGGCGGCACGTCCGCACCCTGCGGAGAGGGCCGGCGGGAGCAGAGCGGCAGTGCGCCCGCCAGGCGAGGGCCGGCAGTTTTGCGTCCGGGGCGTGCTCCACGAAGCCACAACAGGGTCTCAGGACCTCCTCTCTGCCTCCTCCTCTCCTCTCCCTCCTTGACCCTTCACCCTCCCCCTCTGCCTCCTCCTCTCCTCTCCCTCCTTGACCCTTCACCCTCCCCCTCTGCCTCCTCCTCCTCCTCCTCTCCCTCCTTGGCCCTTCACCACCAGGGTCTCAGAGTCCAAAGCCATTCACTGGACGTTGATACGGCTGGAGTCCCAGGTACAGGTTTTTGTGGAGCGCACTCCTGTATTTCAGAATTCGAAGGGGTGCCTTTTTGCTTTGGGTTTTATGGGGGCGTGCCAGGACCATGTTTTTCGACGGCTGGTAGTCCCCTTTGGCGTGGTAAGCATGTTCAAGAAAACTGGAACAAGCCTCAGTATCCCCTCCCCCCACTGGGATGTGGACGCCGAGTATCCACCTGCACCGACGTCCAGGACGACCATGGGCCCAGTCATGTCGCGGTGAAGGAGCGTGCCCCCCCGATGGGGAGACGGGTCCCGGACCCCGTGGCGCCACAGGACCAGCTCTTCACTCCGAGCGGTTGGGGGTCCTCGGGGCCTCGGGGGGGCCCTCGGAGCCCGAGGGCGGGGGGAAGAGCTCCAGGACCTCCCTGACCTTCCAGAGAGCTATTTCTTAGCACTGGAGGCCTAAAAACCTAAAAAGCTGCGCGAAGCAGCCTAAAGCCAAGACGTAGAATAGCTCTGGGATCAGTTTTTTGAAGTCGGGTGTTATTCTTAGCCCTCCTGGAAGGTCAGGACCTCGTTCTTTCAGGACCCGCTGCTTTCCTGCCGAGGAGGGCGCGTGGCGCGTGCTGGGCCGCGTGGCGCAGCTGGAGGCCGGGCGGCGAGATCTGCTCACGTTGCCACCGCCCCCCGGGCCAGGCCCGCACTCTGGGCCCAGGCTAGGGGTGCACGCGCTTCTCCCGTCAAGCCACAGGAGGGCCGTGCAGCGTGGGGTGACGACTGAGAGTGCCCAAGGGGGGGGGGGGGAGCGTCGCGAAGCAGCGCTTCCTCCTCCTCCTCATCTCATTCCTCCTCCTGCTCCTCATCACTCCTCCTCTCCTCCTCCTCCTCTCCTCCCTCCTACCCCCCTCCTCATCCCCTCCTCCTCCTCCGCATCCTCTCCTCCTCCTCCCCTTCCTCCTTCCTCCTCCTACTCCCCTCCTCCTCCTCATCCCCCTCTCCTCCTCCTCTCCTCCTCCTCCCTCCTCCTCTCCACCTCCTCCTCCATTCTCCTCCTCCTCCTCCTCTCCTCCTCCTCCTCCTCCTCCCTCTTCCTTACCTCCTCCTCCTCCCTCGTCCATCTCCTCGCTTCGGGTCGCACGTCTCCCCCACGTCCCCCCTGGGGCCCGCCCAAGGACCTGCCGCCCCCTCTCGGAGGCCCCCCCCCCCCCCCCCCCCGTGGGCATTATCGCCATTGAGCTGGGCTGCCTTCTGCTCCTCCTCTCCTTCTCCTCTCCTCCCCCTCCCCCCTCCCCCTCCTCCTCCTCCTCCTCCTCCCTCCTCTCCTCCTCCTCCTCTCTCTCACTCCTCTCCTCCTCCTCCTCCTCCTTCCTCCATCTCCTCCTCCTCCTCCTCCTCCTCCTCCTCCTCCTCCTTCTCCTCCTCCTCGCTTCGGGTCGTCGTCATTGAGATGGGTTGCCTTATGCTGTTCCAAGCTGCTTTCGCCTTGCCCGCCAGAAGGAATTCTCGAACACCAGAAGCACCGGAACTCGAGGGTTTCCGCGTGTCAGGGGGGCCCCGGGAGACGCTCGTCGGACCCTGTTTCGACACTCTTCCGGGTGCTCGAGCTTATTTCTGGGATGTGGTCCTCAAGTACGACAGGAGCAACTGAAGGGTTGCCGTGCTCTCCAACGCCTGTCCCAGCGCCAGGGCACTGTATCCAGTCTAGGTTCTCCCGTGTGTTCACCTAGGGTCAGGAACTCGGGCTTGGCGTGTCGCTCCGCCGGCTCTGGCCCACCACGCCTCCGCGCGACACGCCGATGATCCACTTCGCGGTCCCTGGGCGTCCACGTGCCGGGCTTTGACCAGCTTCCCGCACCCATGAGCGGACCCTGAGATCTGGCGCAGCGACAAAGAGAAAAGCATCGCAACATCGTAAAGAAGCACGCCCGGAACCCTGGCCCCATCTCTTTATGCGTCCCTTTGCCGAAGCCAAAGGCGAAACCGCCCAGCTCTTCACAAATCAGACATCTGACTCCAGGACATCAGGACATCAGGACTTTCTGCGTCCTTTGTCGAAGCCAAAATCGAAGTCGCCCTAACAAATCAGACTCCAGGACCTCACGGGAGCGACGCGCCACCCGCTCCCACAAGGCACGGCGCGTCGCCGGGGCCGCCGCGGCGGCACGCTCCGCAGAAGCTCTTGGCCGCAGCCTCGACACCGTGCGCCGCACCGCTCCCGGGCCGAGGGTCCCGCAACGGCCTGCAACCGACCCCATATAGCAGATACCACCCCCTTGTCCGTGGCGCCTCCTCCTGCTCCTCCGCCTCCTGCTCCTGCTCCTGCTCCTCCTCCTCCTCCTCCTCCTCCTCGACCCCTGGCAGGTTATTGGTGGTCCGTTGGGGAGGTAGGGGATCATGAGCACATGGTTGATTGTCCGCCCGCCCGCAGGCGTTTACAGCCGGTTCGATCTTGGCTGTACCTGCAGGCCCTGCGATGGCTGCGGGCCCGCCCCGCGATGCGTCGCCCCACCTCAGGTCTTTGCTGCAGGGTCTTCCAGGAGGCCTTCGAGATCAAGTCGCTGATGGACTTGGTCGTCTGCGCATTCATCAGTCTTTCATGGTGGGCGGTGGGTGGGACTCCGCCCGGGAGCTCAGCCAGGAGATTGGCGGCGTAGCTGAGCAGGATATTTTGTCTTTCTACGCTGCGTGCCGTGCCGCATATGCCAGGAAAATTAGAGAGAGGTGCGCCGAGGTCTCCTCATCTGATTTCTGGGCGTTCCGCAATGCTTCTGCGGATCATGGATCTGTTGTCAGTTCGTCCCTTGGTCCGGCAGCGGCCAGTGCTGTGTCGTTACCTGTGGTAGCAGCGTTGCAGTCTCCCTCCTTGGTTGGGTCGGGGGGTGGGCCTTGCAACGCAGTCGTTCCAGCTTGCCGCCATAAAGCTGTGGTTATGGATGGGCTACGGGGTCTTCTCCATGATCCCGAGAACTGTGGGTCCGTTGCGATAGCGTATAGAGGGCTTGCTGGACAAGAGAAGGCCATCTTCTCCGACGACATGCAAGAAGTGTGGTCCAATGTCGCTTTGGTGTCCTTGCGGTGCTATTGGTCGCAATGGGGCAAATGGGGGGCGTGGTGCCGGACCCTTTCGCGTTCTCGTTTTGCGCTGACGTCGGTGGCAGTTTCTGGCTTCTTAGCAGAAGCAAGGAAGAAAGGGCCCACCGCGCCAAGGACCGCATTCAGGATGTTGCGCTGGATGGAGATTCAGTTCGGCTTGTCCCTGGACACAACAGCCTTGACTGTGAGGATGCGCGCGCAGCCACCGGCTGACCATGAAGAGGAGCAGGCCGCGCCGCTGTTTCTGGCAATGGTGTTGCATTTTGAATATCATGCTGCGTCGTCAACTCAGTACGTTGCTTGGATTTCAGCCATCTGGCTGCTGCTCGTTTTCGGTGTGCTCCGGTTTGCCCACGTTCAGCGGTCCTCCTTACTGGGCGAGGACCCGACGCTGGTGCTTGGGCGCTGCTCGCTGGGCAAATCTGCTGTTAGTGGTCGCAGGGCGCCTTTCCGTTGGGCTGCCCCGCGGCACGCGCTGGGCGGATTGGATCTGGGTAGCAGATTGAGGCATCTGTTGGAGGACTACCGCCGGAACGTTTGGAACAAGGAAAGGCGGCCTTCCAGTGTGGGGTTCTTGCTGCCTGATTTCGGGCCCCCGAGGGCGAAGCTACAATCGCTGAGCGTAGCTCATGCGCGAGCGATGGGGATGGGTCGATTCCACCGTCTAAGCAGGGAGTTGCTTAGGGCACCCCCCCTGGCCATGTCCAAACCGGGGGCCAAGGTGTTCATTTCTTATTCTGGCCGTCGGGTGCTGCCCACCGTCGCCGACCTACTGGACCTGCCACCGGCAGATCGGCTCGATGTCGGCGCGTGGAGGTCGGCTGGCATGCGGGCGGTATGTCAGGCCATGGCAATGCCTGACAGGTATTCGGACGAGCGGGTCCGCGTCGTTGGGCGCGCGCGGGCTCGGCTGCGCGACGGTATTCGGCAGGCCCTCGGCCCGGGCGTTGGCCAGGGCATGTCCCTCGCGGGGCTCGCTGGCCGTATCCAGGCTGGGCGTCTTACTACGTGGAGGCACCTCCTGGGGTCCGCTGGGGCCGGGGGTCGCCCTCCTCCTGCCGGCGCCTCGCCCACGGGCGCCAGCCCTGCGCCTGTCCGGGGGCGTGGTACCTCGGCGGGCGCGCCTGGGCCACCAGCCGGTGAGGCCGTTGTCTTCCGCTGGGCGTTGGCACGGGTCTCCCGGTTGGGTCAACTTCCGAGGCTCCATCTCCTGCGAGGGGGGCCGGGGGCTCTGACATGCTGCGGGCGTGCTCTACGTGAGCCCGCTCTCCTGGGCGAGGGGGTGGACGCGGCTACTGCTACTGGCGGGTCCTGGTCTCCGCGGTGCCGCCGGCACTTGCCCAGGGAGTGCAGGGGGTGAGCGCGAAAATGTTATCATTTTCTCGTCGTCATCTCTCCTTCTCCTCCCTTTCTCTTGCTCCTTTATTGTTATTCTTGCCATTATTTGCTCATTCTTACGTGCGGCACACGTTGCTCCCTTTATCGTTATGTTACACATATTCGTATTCTGTATGGAATGTCGCATTCTCCTCAGACAGTGCCGGGGACCACTGTTTGGGGGTCGCGTTATCGTCGCGGAGAAGGTAACAACCCGTCTGGCAGTTATCAGTACATGAGGAAACAAGAACCCCATCCAGACGTGTGACGATGCAGCTCAATATTGGTTGCTGGACGTCGGTCTGGTGTGCCAGAGAAAGGACTCAGATGCGTTCTACCCTCGCTCGGCGTGGCGGTGGGTGCCGGTTCTTCTGGCGTTGTGAATCCAAAGTTTCGCTACGCCTTTGGGGGGGGGCACCGCCGGTCCCGATCGAGGCGTGCGCAGTTGTCCAAGCAATCGGTGGTATTGTGCTCTTGGGTCCTCGTTGGCATCATTTATTTATCACTGTGTGTATTTGGGTCCTCTTTGGCATCTTCGCATTGCATTTCATTATGCATATATTGTTGTTGCTCGTCGCGTTGCCATTGCCGCTTTGGCTCAAATCTCGGAACTTCCTGGCTTTGCAGCGGCCGGTCGGCTGGCGCCCTCGCAAGGGGGGCCGCCATGTCGGCTTCCGAGGATGGGCTTCGCAAGTTCCTGACCAGGAACAATGTGAGCACATCCGTAATCGATTACTTGATCGGCGCGAACTGCCGGAACGTCCTCCAGTTCGGCGAGTGGTGCTCCAAGGAGGATCTGAAGAGCGTGGTGCTCGACCACACGGACAAGAAGGACGACCGGGGAACCCTTGCCAGTCTCAAAGTGGCATGGGGCGAGGCGCAGGCTCTCGCGAAACACGCTTTTGAGAGGCGCGCGCAGGGCCTGGACGACGTGGCGACGGAGGATCAGCCCTTGCAGTGGGAGGTGCAGAAAGCTAGGGAGGAGAAGTTCGAGACCTACTACCACTGGACCATCGACCCGTCCTGTTTCGGGGACGACATCCTCTTGGCCAAGGTCGTCCGGGAATTCCAGCGCGGCAAGCCTCGGATGTACCCGGCCTCCAAGGTGAAGACCGTGGGCCGGTCCAACCAGGTGGGCCAGCCGCAGCGGGAGCGCGTAGGCAAGGGCCGTCTCGTCTAC